GCCGGGTCCCCCCATCGTGTTGGGGAGGGAGGGGTGCATCTGCTCCTCATGCTCCCAGCGCCCCCTGCCTGGGGCTCAGGCCCCCAGGGGGCACCACCAAGAACACCCATCGCTGGGGAGCAGAACTGACCTCCTCCCGCTGCTGCTCCCGGCTGCGGCTGCGCTGCTCCGTGGCCGCCTGCTGTCCCAGCAACTCCCGGAGCTGCTCCTCCTCTCGCGGGCAGCCACGCGCTCCCCGGCCAGCTCGCCGCGGAGCAGGGCCACCTCCACCTCCATCTGCAAGGGGAGCAAGGGCAGGGGTGAGGTGGGTGGGTGGCTGGGCTCCTGGCTCTGAGGGAGGGCAGCGGGAGTGTGAACTGGGTGGGGAGGGAGGGCAGCGCGGGGCGCCCAGCATCCCCTGGAAGTCAAGTTCGAGGGAAAGGGCTGGGAGCCCAGGCGGCCGACCCCGGGCCCGCGCGCGGCCTCACCTCTATCCGCAGCTCCTTCCTCTGGCGCTGTAGCTCCTTCACGCGCTGCTCCATCAGGGCCACGCGGGTCAGGGCCTCTAGCTGCTGCCCCCGCAGCCGCCGCGCCACCCCTCGCGCCCCTTCCCCAGAAGGGATGGAGACGGAGGGCGTGGCCAGGACCCGAGCAGAAGGAGTGGCCTCGGGCTGGAGCTGGAGAGGGTGTGGTCGAGTGCAGAGGGCTGAGTAGGTCCGCTCCCCACCCCCACTCGCCGCTGGCCGGCCGGGGGTCTGCTTCTGCCTGACTCAGCCATCGCGCCCTGCACCTGTCTCGGGCTCTTTCCTTTAATGCGGGAGCGCGCAGGCGCTGAGACCACCGACGGCCCCGGGAGGGGCTTTGGGGCCACTCGTGGAGCAGGGGTCTCCTGGCACCACTGACTCTGCCGGCGGCCTCTGGGCCTCTTCCCCGGCTCTCTGGGCTGCCACTCTGCCCCTCAGGATCTGCCTGAGTCTTGGGGGTCTCTCTGCCTTGGGGCATCTAAGCCCTTGGTTTCTGAGCCTTCCAGTCTTTCCAACCCCAAGGCCGTGCCTCTGGCTCCAAGTCCAGGCTTGGGTCTCAGTAGCCTCTCCCTATAACTACATGTCTCCCGCGCCCCGGCCCTGCGTGGGGTGGGTGCCTCTCAGGTTCCCCATACCCCTGTCTGTCTCTGTCACCCTTTGGGGTCCACCTCCATCCTCTCTGACCCTACCGCTGGCTCACTCTGTCTCTCTGTGGTCTCCCCCATCCTCGGGGTCTCTATCTGGTTCCCCACACTCTGAGTCTCTCACCCATTGGGATCCACCTGTGTCTCTGGGCCTCCCCCGCCCCCCCTCCAGTCTCCCCTCTCTGATTCCCCACACCCTGTGTGTCTGTCACCCTATGGGGTCCACCTCCACCTCTCTGAGCCTGCCCCTGTTCCTTCTGTCTCGCTGTGGTCCGCCCTGGCCTCGGGGTCTCTATCTGGTTCCCCACGCCTCTCTCTGGGTCTCTGTCACCTGTTGGGATCCACCCGTGTCTCCCTGGCCTTCCCCAGGGCTCACTCTCTGTCCCTGTGCTCTCCACCGTCTCGGGGTCTCTCTCTGGTTCCCCACAGCTGTCTCTCTGTCACCCTCTGCGATCCACCTGTGTCTCTGGGCCTCCCTCCCCATCCCGGTCTCCCTTCTCTGATTCCTCACACCCATGTGTGTCTGTCACCCTTTGGGGTCCACCTCTATGTCTCTCTGTGGTCTCCCCCCGGGCTGGCTTGCTCGCTCGCTCTATCTCTGTGGCCTCCCCCGGGCACGCGCTCTGTCTATGGGGTCTCCCCCAGGCCCGGGTCCCTGACTAGCAGGTTCCCCACTCCTGTCTCTGTCTGTCACCCTTTGGGGTCCACTTCTTTTTTTTTTTATTTTTTTTATTTTTTTTTATTTTTATTTTTTTTATTTTTGATAGGCAGAGTGGACAGTGAGAGAGAGAGACAGAGAGAAAGGTCTTCCTTTGCCGTTGGTTCACCCTCCAATGGCCGCCGCTGCAGCCGGCGCACCGCGCTGATCCGATGGCAGGAGCCAGGATCCAGGTGCTTTTCCTGGTCTCCCATGGGGTGCAGGGCCCAAGCACCTGGGCCATCCTCCACTGCACTCCCTGGCCATAGCAGAGAGCTGGCCTGGAAGACGGGCAACCGGGACAGAATCCGGCGCCCTGACCGGGACTAGAACCCGGTGTGCCGGCGCCGCAAGGTGGAGGATTAGCCTATTGAGCCACGTCCACTTCTATGTCTCTCTGTGGCCTCCCCCTGGCTCATTTTCTCTATTTCTGGGGTCTCCCCCTGTCCCCGGATCCCTGTCTAGCAGGTTCCCCACTCCTGTCTCTGTCACCCTTTGGGGTCCACTTCTATGTCTCTCTGTGGTCTCCCCTGGGCTGGCTTGCTCGCTTGCTCTATCTCTGTGGTCGCCCCCGGGCGCACGCTCTCTCTCTCTCTCTGTGGTCTCCCCGGGGCTCGCTCTATCTCTGTGGTCTTCCCCGGGCGCGCGCTCTCTGTCTATGGGGTCTCCCCACCCCTGGCCCGGGTCCCTGACTAGCAGGTTCCCCACTCCTGTCTCTGTCTGTCTGTCACCCTTTGGGGTCCACCTCTGTCTCTCTGTGGTCTCCCCCGGGCTGGCTTGCTCGCTCGCTCTATCTCTGTGGCCTCCCCCTGGCTCGTTTTCTCTGTTTCTGGGGTCTCCCCCTGTCCCCGGGTCCCTGTCTAGCAGGTTCCCCACTCCTGTCTCTGTCACCCTTTGGGGTCCACTTCTAAGTCTCTCTGGTCTCTCCGGGGCTGGCTTGCTCGCTCGCTCTATCTCTGTGGTCGCCCCCGGGGCGCGCGCTCTCGCTGTCTCTCTGTGGTCTCCCCGGGGCTCGCTCGCTCTCTGTGGTCTTCCCCGGGCGCGCGCTCTCTGTCTATGGGGTCTCCCCACCCCTGGCCCGGGTCCCTGACTAGCAGGTTCCCCACGCCCGTCGCTCGCTGCCCGGTCTCCCGCGGCTGTCGCGCCCCAGGCGCTCACCTCGTCGCGGCTGCTCTCGGTGCTGCTGCCCTCGCCGACTTCCTCCTCTTCCTCCGCCTGCTCAGCTCCTCGGCCGCTCGGAAGCTCCGCCGTGGCCGCGGGAGCCTCCTGCTGGCGAGGCTCCCCGGGGCGCCCCTGGGGCTGAGCGGCCCCATGAGGCGGGAGCTCGGCGTCGCTTTCCGGGGCTGGCGGCGGCGGAGGCCCCTCGTCCGGGCAGCTCCGCGTCCCCATGGCCTCTGCGGGCTCCGGCGGTGGGCGGGGCCGGCGTTTCGGGGGCGGGGCCTGGCGGCGTGGGGGCGTGGTCTGGAGAACCCCCCCCCCGGGAGGAGGGGCCTGGGAGTTCAAAGGGTGGGATTGAGCACTCCGAGGGCGTGGTCTGGAGCTTCCCGGGGCGGGAGACGAAGCTGGGGGGAGGTTTGACGGTTCCTAGGGCGACACACCCCCAGACACGAGTCCAGAATTCGAGTCCGGGGTCGTAGCTCGCCCCCTACTGGCCTCTCCGGCCCCGCCTCTCGCTCCGAAGCTGGTGTCAGCCCGTGGCCCCTCTGCAGGGCCTCCAAAGCTCGGACTCCCTCCGAGCGAGCCCGTCCACTTCCCCCGCCGGCACCGGTTCCCACGCGCGCGTCCCCGCAGCCCGTAGTCTCGGCGCCCGCCCCTCCTTCCCCGGGGATCCGGGAGTCGGCTCCCGGTCTCCCGCTCGCTCTCTGACCAAGTCAGAAGCCGCAGCCTTCCCTCCCGGGAACGCCCTGCACAAACTCCAGCCCCCTTCTGCCCCCGGGCCCCTCCTCACCTGCGCCAGCTCCAGCGCACCCCGCTCTGCGCTCTGGGCGCTGCCGCTTCTGCCGACCCGGCAGGTGGCTGGGGAAGAGGGAGCAGGGAGAGGCCGCCCCGTCCCCCTCCCCAGCAGCCCGGAAGTGGAGGGGGGGACAACAGGTCCAACAGCTCCGAGGGAGGAGGGTGCCATCAGCGGGCCCCGCCCGCGGCCGCGGCACCGGGTCATCCGGGCCCCACCGGCCCCACCCCGGAGAATCCAGCATCACCACCTCCCACTCTGCCTCCAGCGCCCTCATTCCTGTCCCCTGGAGGGCCGGGTGGCCGTGGCTGCCTCCGCAGGGGCCTCCCTCCTGCCCAGATCCTGGAGTCCTGAAGGGGAGATAGGAACGGAGATGGGGGCCTCTCCCCTCTAATAAGCCCTTTAGAAGGGCCCGGACCGGTTTGGGGAGCTGGCCAGAGGGAGGGGGTTGCCCTGAGCTGAGTCGGAGACCCGCACAGAGAACAAGGTTAGTGTGCTGACCCCTTTATTAGGGGCGGAGGGCAGAGGGCAGAGGTCTCAGCCCACAAAGCTTTCCGCTTTGTGCAAAAACAGGAAAATCAAGGGATGTGAAAGGGGAGTCTGAGGTGTGGCTGCACGGTGGCCTAGTGCCACCCCCACAGCAGCCCCTCAGGGAAGGGTTTGCTCTCTCTCCATTTTAACGCTCAGGGAAACTGAGGCTGGGGTGGGGAGGAGCAACAGAATCCAAGGTCAACACAGGTGGGAAGTGCTGACCGGCTGCATTCTCGAGAAAACCTGTGCTCATCCCCTGTGCCTGCCCGGCTCCAGGCCCGGAAGTGCCTGGGAGATCACGGCCAGCGATAGCGCCGGCAGCCGGCTGGGGAGCGTGCCACGCAGCCAGTGCCGCCCACCTGTCCACCCACCCATCAGAGCATCGCAGCGCCCATTCCACAGATGAGGAACGGGGGCTCGCGGGGGAAGGGGCTCGGAGGTGGGACCCTGCTGTAACCCCAGGAGAGGAGAAGTGTGTGTGCATGTGTGTGTGTGTGCGTGTGTGTGCGCACGCCCACGCATGCTTCTGTGAGCTAGAAACCCCCTCTTCCCGCCCCAGGACCTCTGCCGTGCCCAGCGTCCCCACTCTCCCCCCAGACATGATCCCAGCCCGAACCCCAAGGATCTCAGCCCAGAAACCCGGGGGACCCCCCCCAAACCAGGTGGGAGTCAGATTCACGGCCAAAAGAAACCAAGTATCTTTATTTCAGAAGCTCAAGGGGCTTGTGGGGGAGGTAGAAATGGGGAGGAGAGAGGTGGGGGGGTGACAGCTCTCCCCTCCCCCACCCTGGGCCCCTGACAGATGTGCTCAGGAAGGGGGGCTCTGGACCCCACACCGCATGTTGGCTGGCACGGCAAAATCTGCAGGTGAGAACCAGGGTGACACTGAAGGACCCTGCAGGGCCTGCACAACCCACAGACCCAGACCTGCGAGCCCTCCTCGCTTGGGGAATTAGGATTCTGACCCTGGGCCCCTCCTCCCTCAGACCCAGGGTCCAGGCCCCCAGCCCCTCCTCCCTCACACCCAGGGTCCAGGCCCCCAGCCCCTCCTCCCTCAGACCCAGGGGTCCAGGCCCCAGCCCCTCCTCCCTCAGACCCGGGGGTCCAGACCCAGCCCCTCCTCCCTCAGACCCAGGGTCCAGGCCCCCAGTGCCTCCTCCCTCAGGCCAAGTTCTGGACTGGTGTTTTACCTATCTGCTGAGGTTTGGGCAAATTTAGGTTGGCCATGACCTTTACAAACTCCTCACAGCTGAGGGTGAGCCGAGGGTTCAGAGTCCGCTCCTCCTCCACCGTGGACACCGTGAGCCCTAGTGGACGAGGGACGGGAAGGAAAGTCAGTGGGTCCAGTGCCTGGGGGCTCTGGGAACTACAGCTCCCAGGAGGCACTGGGGCGGCTCTCTCGCTGGCGACTAACAGGCTCTCCCTAGAACACTCCCGAGACTGCTTTTCCTGCTCGATGGGCACCATGGGAAATGTAGTTTCCCTGGTTCTTCAAGCCCTTGGAGGAAGTCCCAGGAAAACCCAGACGCTTTGGAATTCCAGGTGCACACAGACGCTGGGCGCTGGTCTTCCGGCCAGAGGAGCCTCTGCCACCTGTGGCCCGCGTGCCCTTCGAGCTTCACAGGGGTTCGCGGTCCCCTCTCAGTAGTCACGGGAGCCCCCACCCGCTCCAGCCCTCACCATGGTAGTCGTGCGCGGGGTAGATCAGACAGTCGCCCGGGAGCGTGAAGATCTTGTCGTGCACCGAGTGGTACAAGGTCTTAGCGCAGCCTGCGGAAAGGTCAGAGGTCAGAGGTCAGTGGTGGCGGGATGACGGCGCCGAGCTAACCGCCCTTCCTCATCTCCTGCCAATACCCCTTTGTCCCGGTAGAGGAGGGCGGGAACAGCATGCTAGGCAGGTGGAACAGCGTGAGATTCAGCACGGCTGTGAATACCGTGAGGACGAGACCCTGACGCACCGAGGAGCTGTGCCTTCCCCCTGAGGGTGGCCAGACAGGCGTCAGGACAAGGAGGGCGGACCAGCAGGCAAGGGCCTGAGCACCGGAGACCCCCAAGGGGCCGTGGAGCCACAGTGCCGGCAGGAAGCTGAGTCCTGGTGGGGGCAGGCGCACACGTCTCCCACCTTCTGCCGCCCGTCTCTGCCTAAATCCTTCCGCTTCGTGGATAAATGGGAGCTTGGGAATCGCAGAGGGAAACCCCAGAGACGGAGAGCAAGAGGAAAGGGGGCGGGTGTGGCGGGGGCGTGGCTTCCCGCCGCGTCTGTTGGCCGCCACTCTGCTCTCGCGCGCGCACTTCACGGCTCCCCACGAGGCAGCCAAACCCTGAGGTTCGGAACCCAAACTCCAGGAAACCCCGAATCACTGCCCGAATGTCCCACTGGCCCACTGCCTGTGACGCCCTGCAGCCCCAGATCCTGGATCTAAGGGCCGCACCACGCACTCCTCGGGCAGCACATCCTTAGGATCCTTAGGGCGTCCTCCCTCGGAAACCCCATGTGACTTCCAAGGCTGGGTCCAAAACACATCCGGGCTTCTGCCTGCATGTCTCCCCCCCTCTCTCTCCACCCCTCCACGGAAGTACACCCACCAGGTCAGGAAGGCGCTCGGTGGCCCTAGGGTGAGGACCCCTGGGAGGCCGCGAGTGGTACCTGGCCAGCCACGTGGGCGAGCCGCCCTAGAGAGAGGCTCCTCCGGCCCCAGCCGGGCTCTCTGATGACTGTGGCTGCACAGCCCAGGGTCTAACTCTTCCCACACTTGGCAGCAAAACGCCTTAAACTGACACCGACCCCTCCCTAAAGATCTAACATCCGTTTGTCCCTTCTGGTTACTGGAAAACGTAGCATCCCGGCACCCACGCAGCTCCACTAAAATCCCGGGGCTGGAGCGCTCACCTTGCTGGAAGTCCGTCCGTCCACACCCGCGGATCAGCAGGGCGTCGCCAGTGAAGGCCATGCTGTGGTCATTCAGGACGAAGGTGACACAGCCTGGGGTGTGGCCAGGGCTGGCCCGAGTCTCCAAGGCCTAGCGGGATGGCGGACACAGAGATGGTCACCAGCGAGCCTTGAAGTCCACCGACCCCAGGGTCACATCTGCATCCGACTTGTTAGATTCCCAGGCTCCAACCCCGCCCCAGGGCAAGCTCCAAACGGATGAAAGAGTTAAATGCAAGAAAATCGAGCTGTGACAATGACAACACAAACATAACCCGGTAGCTAGTCTCAGCTAGAAGGACATTCACATGTGAGCCCAAAGCCACGAGTCACGGAGCAAAGATCAGGTGTGTGGCTTTTTTTTTTTTTTTTTTTTGACAGGCAGAGTGGACAGTGAGAGAGAGAGACAGAGAGAAAGGTCTTCCTTTGCCGTTGGTTCACCCTCCAATGGCCGCCGCGGTCGGCGCGCTGCGGCCGGCGCACCGCGCCGATCCGATGGCAGGAGCCAGGAGCCAGGTGCTTTTCCTGGTCTCCCATGGGGTGCAGGGCACAAGCACCTGGGCCATCCTCCACTGCACTCCCTGGCCACAGCAGAGAGCTGGCCTGGAAGAGGGGCAACCGGGACAGAATCCGGCGCCCCGACCGGGACTAGAACCAGGTGTGCCGGCGCCGCTAGGCGGAGGATTAGCCTAGTGAGCCGCGGCGCCGGCTAGGTGTGTGGCTTCTAACCAATCTCAAGTTTCCGAATGACAGCAATGCCACACGCCACGTGCGGAGGGAACCGACAGGCGGTGGAAATCTACCTGTAACACACAGGTACACACCACACCCCACACACACAATCCACACTCACACACCATACACACACACACACCCCCACACACACACCCCCACACACACACCATATACACACATACCCCACACATACACACACACCATACACACACACCCCACACACACCCACCACACACATACATACACACCACACATACCCCTCACACACACACCACACACACACACCACACCACACCACACATATACCACATATACACACACACCACACCACACACCCCCATACACATACACACCACACATACCCCTCACACACATACCACACACACATACACACACACGCCCCCCACACCACTAAACTACACATATACCACACACACACACACCCCACACATATATACCACACTCACACATACACCACATATACACACACACCACACACATATATACCACACTCACACATACACCACACACATACCACACACACACCACACCATTATACCACATACACACACACCACACACACCATACACCCCACACATACATACACACCATACACACACCACACACATACACACCATACACACACCCCACACACAAACCCCACACACCACACCATACATACACCACACACCACACCATACACACACACACCACACCATTATACCTCGCATATACCACACACATCCCACACATATATACCACACTCACACACACACCACACCATACCACACATATACCACATACACACACGCACCACATACCATACACACACACCACACATACACATACATACACATGCCCCCCCACAGACCCCACACACACATCACACACCCTCATACACACACACTACACACACACCACACACATACCCCACTCACACCACACACACCACACACCCCCACATACACCACACACACACCACACACATACTACACCCACACCATACACACCCACACCACACACACCCACACACACACCCACACCACACAGCGGTCAATATTCTGAAGTCACTAACAGACCTTGAAGATCGCTGAGAAAAGACAAGCACAGGGATATAAACAGGACACTAAGGGCCAGCTGCAGTGATGTTGGCATAAGCGGTGATGATGTGGGGGCTGCGCTGCGGCGCTGTGGCGGGGCCGGCTAGCTTCTGCGTGTGGCGCTGGCATCCCACGTGGACACCGGGTCAAGTCCTGGCTGCTCCACTTTTATTGTTTTAGACTTCTTATTTTATTGTTTAGACTTTTCTGTGTTATCTTTTTACTATAAACCTTTTATTTTTATTCTTAAGTATAAAGCCCATATATATATATATGGAATATTCAAAATTTTCATGGAAAATGTCTGTTACCAGCAAACTATGCATGGATTTCAAAATTTTTACACCAAAATAAACTTCTCTTATTCCATTTTCCCAGGGACTTTCTGAAATATCTTTCAGAGGCCATGAGAAAATAGTGATAGATGTGTCCACATAATTGAACTTTATAATATTTTTTAAAGTCATAGTTAAGAGATAAAAGAAAAACCTCAGAGACAATGTTGGCCGTATGTATAACCAAGTCATATAAAGTGGCAACAGCCATAATATATAAATAGCTCCTACCATCAACAAGAACTCCCAAAAGAAAATGGGCAAAAGAAAAGAACAGGCGATTCAGGCAGGGGGACACAGATACAGTGGTCCCCAGATCCTCTGTGGGCGAGGGTCCCACACCCGAGCTCTAAATGACGACCGAGAGGGCCAGTAAGTGATTGATGGCGGCATCTGCAGCCTGGATCTGCAGGACTGACGGACGATTCACAGTCAGACAGTGCAGCAGGGCAGCAGGAGATGTCCTCACGCCACTGAGGACAACGTGACATTTAAAACTCATGCATGGTTTATTTCTGGAATTTTCCGTTTAATATATTTGGGCCAAAGCCGGCGCCGCAGCTCACTAGGCTAATCCTCCACCTGCGGCGCCAGCACACCGGGTTCTAGTCCCGGTTGGGGCGCCGGATTCTGTCCCGCTTGCCCCTCTTCCAGGCCAGCTCTCTGCTGTGGCCAGGGAGTGCAGTGGAGGATGGCCGAAGTGCTTGGGCCCTGCACCCCATGGGAGACCAGGAGAAGCACCTGGCTCCTGCCTTCAGATCGGTGCGCTGGCTGGCCACGGCAGCCATTGGAGGGTGAACCAACAGCAAAAGGAAAACCTTTCTCTCTGTCTCTCTCTCTCACTGTCCACTCTGCCTGTCAATATATATATATATATATATTTGGGCCAAGGCTGACTGTGGGTAACTGAAATGGCAGAAAGCCAGATTGGGGGTGGGAAGGGACAACAACCGCAGTCAAACAGCAACGGGTGCACGGCGGGTTAGGCGCTAGCCCTTCTGTCAGATTGCTGGTTCAGGTCCCAGCTGCTCTGCTTCCAACCCAGCTCCCTGCTGATGCGTTCGCGAAGCAGAAGACGGCCCAAGCACTTGGGCCCTGCACACATGTGGGAGACCTGGAAGAAGCTCCTGGCTCCTGGCTTCGGATCTGTTCAGCTCCAGCCATTGTGGCCATCTGGGGAGTGAACCAGTGGATGGAAGACCTCTCTCTGTCTCTACCTCTCTCTGTAATTCTGTCTTTCAATAAATAAAGTAAATCTTAAAAAAAAAAAAAACACCTTTTTTAAAAAAAAAGATTTATGTGTTTGTCTGAAATCAGAGTTAGAAAGTGAGAGAGGGAGAGACAGAGAAATCTTCAACCCAGCTGCAATGGCCGATACTGGGCCAGGCCGAAGTCGGCAGCCAGGGGCTTCATCCGCTCCTGCGTGGGTGCAGGGGCCTGAGCACGCACGCGCCTGGGCCGTCACCGGCTGCCTTCCCAGGTGTGGCGGCAGGGAGCTGGATCAGAAGCGGAGCAGGGGCTGGCGCTGTGGCTCCGTTGGTTAAGCCGCAGCCCGAGACACCAGCACCCCAGATGAGAGCGGTTCGAGTCCCGGCTGCTCCACTTCCGATCTGGCTCCTTGCTCATGTGTGAGGGAAAGCAGCGGAAGGTGGCCCTCGGGGGAAGCCCGGACGGAGCTCCTGGCTCCTGGCTTCAGCCTGGATCAACCCTGGCCGTGGTGGCCGTGCGGGGAGCGAACCAGCCAACGGAAGAGCTCTCTCTCTGTCACTCTGCTTTTCAAATAAATCACATAAATCTTTCTTTAAAAAGTGTAAATTTCTAAAAATCTGTATTGCCAGCTTCGTTTCCTTAAAGCAAACAAACAAAAACAGATTTGGCAACAGAGAGGACAACTCCTAAACACACCAACAATGAACTTGAATTTCGCCCTGGGCGCCCCCCTAAGCGAGCCACAGGCCCCGCCCCTCCCCACTGCCGAGGGTCTCGCCTGGGCTCCCGGTTCTCCCAGAATGCAGAGATAGAAGGGAAGTCAGACAGTCCAACCAACAGGCTGTGCGAGCTGCAGACGGTCCAACAGCAGCGAAGGCAGGCAGGGCGCAGCTCTCCGGAAATCCACCCCCGCGGGGTCCACAGCAAACGCTTTTGGCCTGGACGTGGCCGGGTTTCAGGCACCGCTCTAACTGGCTTCACTTGCTTAATCCTTACAACACTCAAGAGGGACCAGCACTGGACCCATTTTCTGGATGAAGACACTGAGGCCCGAAGGGTACACTATTTGCTCCAGGTGTCACAACACTCTGTTCCCCCTGGCCAGCCTCGGTGGGCATCTCACATGGGTGCTGGTTCGAGTCCCGGCTGCTTCCACTTCCAATCCCAGCTCCCTGCTAATGCACCTGGGAAAGCAGCAGAGGATGGCCCAAGTGCTTGGGCCCCTGACCCCATGTGGGAGACCCGAAGAAGCTCCTGGCTCTGGCCTGGCCCTAGCCCTGGCTGTTGTGGCCAGCTGGGGAGTGGACCAGCGGATAGAAGACCTTTCTCTCTGTCTCTCCCTCTCTCTCTAACTCTGCCTCTCAAATAAGTAAAATAAATGTTTCATTTAAAGTTGCTATTATTTTTCTGTAGTATCGTCCAGGAGGGGCGACAGGGTCTTCAGAATGGACGCCCCTGGGGGCAGGCGAGGGGCACCTCTGAGAGCAGAAACCCCAGGACACTGCTTGGACTCCCCGCCCCCGACCAGGCGGGGGGCTGAGGGCTGGGGGTGCAGAGAGCAAGGCCCTGCCGCCAGCCTGGCTGACTTTGGATCCGCGCTCCTCCCCCGCGGCCAGGCTGGTCGAGGCCTGTGTGTGCTCGGCCTTCAGAATTCCTCCCCGAGGGGGCTGGGGTGGGGTGGGGGCACGATATTTGGTTCCGAAAATCCTTTGGGATAAATGACAGGAAGGGCCATGCTGTGATGCCCGCACCCCAGGTTCGGGCGCTGGTTTGAGTCCCAGCTGCTCTGT